ACATACATACATACATACATACATACATACATACATACATACATACACATACATACATACATACATACATACATACATACATACATACATACATACTACGCGCATACATGCATGCATACATACATACATACATGCATGCATACATACGTTCACGCATACATACATACACACACGTACATGCATGCATGCATGCGTACATGCATGCGCACATACAAAATTATATCCGCCGACCCCGGTGAAGCCTTCGCCTAGCGGGGAAGGTTGGAAGCTTTAACCGTTGTTGTATGGCACCCTTGTCAGCTGCCTAAGCGTGTGAGTGAGCGGGGCCTACTTGCGCGCGTATGGCTCTTTTTGTGTGACTGTGAATGTGTGCGTGTGAAGCTCCGCGCTTTTCTGTTTGTTGTTTTTTTCCGTGTTTGTGTCTATGTCCCTGTCTGTGTCCATGTCTGTGACTATGTCCTGTGCCCATGAGTCTGTAAATCTGCAAAAAATTACACCACCGTAGACCCCAAACAGCTGGGACAACAAGGAAACGTTCCCAAGTCAACTTTTTGAGACATCAACAAGAAAGAAGACGAGAAGGGAACGGAGACAAGAAGGGAGACAGAAGGGAAACAAGACGGACACAATGATCAACAAGAAGGGAATCAAGAAGGGAGACACAAGGAAAAAGAGGGGAGACAAAACGGACACAATGACAAACAAGAAGGGAGACAAGACCGGAGACAAAGGGAGACAAGAAGGGAGACAAAAGGAAACAGACACAGTGACCAACAAGAAGGGAGACAAGACCGGAGACCAATGACCAACAAAAAGGGAGGCAAGAAGAGAGAAGGAAGACAGGGCAATGACCAACAAGAAGGGAGACAAAGGGAGAACAGAACAACTAGAAGGGAGGACAAGACTGGAGACCAGAAGGTAAGACGGACACTGTGACCAACAAGAAGGGAGACAAGACCGGACACAAAGGGAGAGAGAAGGGAGACAAGGCGGAGGGAAAAAACACCCTGGCGATTCGCGCAGCAGGTGCTGATGCAAGGTCAGAGGGCGATGTCCAACGCAAAAAACACACCGGCGAAAAAAACACCCTGGAGCTAGGACCGGCGCAAAAAACACACCGGCAACAAAGGGATTCGAGGAAAGAACCGATGCAAAAAACACCTCAAGTTTGGACAAGCGCAAAAAACACACTAGACAAGTAGGAATAACACTACTGTTTGGAATTACACTGGTTTCCGTCGCAATTAACACACGACCCTTGCTATACGGAGGCGTCTAGCATCACGAGGGCTCATGTGGCTTCGTCAGAAATGGCAACTGTAAAGCTTATTGCTTTGTAAACCTCTAGAAAATAATGCGTTGAAAAGGGAAACAAATTTTGAGGACATACTTTGGTCGAGCATCATTAGCATCAGCAGAGTCTCAGCAGGAAAGATGCAAATCCTTCGGGGCTCGGGAGGCTGCCTTCGAGGGGTTGGTTTGGTGTATGACTAGGGGCAAAAAACTGTAAATTATAGTGTTTTTCCAACATGTATGCAGTTTATGAACAGACGGCTTTGAAGCTATAAGCTTCACAAAGTCCTGACTGCGATATTACGCTTCTATTTGTGACCTATTTGAAGAAGCCACATCAGTCCAAGTGGTGCTAGAAATGTCGGCCGCAGACGGACATTTTGAACTTCACCAGGACGTATGTATTTACTTGCATCACCAGAGCCGGGGCAGCATTGCTCACATAAAAGCCAAATTTCTTAGGGGATTTGGAGGGCGCTATCAGAATTTTGTTTGGTCTATGGCTGGGCCCAAAACACAATGAATTACAGTGCTTTAGGTGAGTTTGTGTAGCTTATTGGATAGTTGTCAATGAAAGTGGAGACCTTTGGACAGAAAACACCTTTTAATGTTCAAGATGACTACCTCTGGGAGAGAGGAAGATCCGATAGTGTTGGTGATGCTTGATGCTGCTAACGGGTGATGCTGATCATGTTGGATCCTTGTTGGAACTGAAAATTGTTGATGTGATGTCTATTTTGGTTGACGGCCAGGCGAAAAATGCTGTAAATTCCTATAATTATGCTTCTCAACGCGCTCGAGTGAAAAAAGGCAGCATGCAAGGGGACCAGCGTAAACTAGGGTGTTTTTAATAGGGTTGGCGTGGAAAGCGCTGAAAAAGCTTGTATTTTTTGAGCATTTTCTAGCCTAAAGCTATCTGTATTTACAGAGCTCGCTGACGCAAAGGTGGCTCCAATTTCGCCCATTGGGTGTGCCCGCACCCGGGCCCGTGCCCGTGCGCGCGTGCGTGCGGGCGGGTGCGGGTGCGTTCGTGTGCGTCCGGGCGCGTGTGCGGTGTGCATGTGCGTACGCGTGTCTGAAGCTGAGGTTGCCAGGCTTTTTACACCAGACCCTCGTGCGCACACCTGTGTGGGAGTGTGTATGCGCAGGCGTCAGAAGCTGTGCTAATCGTCGATTTTGCTGTGCAAAGAGCCTGCTGATACGCGCAGTCCCCCCAAGGGCATTGCCGGTTGGCGAAGCCTGTCAGTACACATGCAATACACTTTCATTTATACCAATTGCTTGGGAAAATGGAGAGTCCCAAATGATTGCGACCATGCAGGTTGTGGGGTCTGATATTGGCCATCCCCGCTGAAAGCACGCCCGGACTCGATGGGAACTTCGCATCCCGGCATGCCTAAGCGTCGTCCTGGAATCCCAGAACTTAGATGAAGCGAAGCAAGGTCCGTCGGTGACAAAGCTTGTAAATCCAGTCTAATCAAAAGTCAATTCATGAAGAAGGTGTCTGATTATGAAATGTCTGACATCGAGTCAAAGTCATGGATCTCATCCAAGCTGTACTTTTCAAACACAAAGAATTGTGTAGAAGGGGAGGTTCATCTACAGCGTGTTTTGGACGGTTCACAAACAAGGACTGAGGGGAAAGGCGCCAGTGGCTCTGCTCTGATGCCAAGCACCTCTCACGAACCTCCCAAAACTGCCCTTTGAGGGAACTGCAGAAAGCCTTCACCAGTGGAAACTCCGCAGAGTTCATTCAGTTCTAGCAATGTCCTGGTCATCCCAGAGTCATCCCCGCGTTGCTTAGAGGGTTTGGTGGATTTGCGGAATCCCAAGAGTCCCGAGATGTCCAGTGGAAAAAAACAAGAATCATCTGATTACGTTTTACGTTTCCCTTACTTAAGTAGGCTCCGACTTGATCAAGTAAGGAGGCGCCTACTTAGGCAGGGCCACGGGCTTGAAAAACATAAATAAATAAGAAAAAACATAAACATTGCTTCATCCAGGTCACTTTTCCGCGACGATGGCTTTTGGATCTGTTGCGCCCCCTCGGTGCATTTTTTGTGGAGACGGCTGCGCGACGATGGCTGCTCCAAACGGGTCTGCATCGTTCATCGTCTTCACAAAGCATCGTGGATTTTCACCGTGCCATCCAAGAAACCGACCCCCTATAAACACCCCACCTGAGGGGCAGTTCAGGGTCATCAGGCTAATGGATGAAGCCAAATAGGTGAAACTTCCCATCAAAGAGGTCAGGTCCGCCGAGCAGGCCTCAGTTCCGGCTTGGATTGGTGGCTTTGCACCCAGTGATTGGCTTGGTGTACTGGGTGAAGTACCAAGGGAGAGGTGTCTTGGAAGTGCCCACATTGAAGAGTTGTATTGTCGTTGGGCATAGGTCAAGTTCATATCTGCGACTTCAATTGAGCAATGAATGGGTGGTGGAAATACATGGAAATACCCTTCGGGCTGCGGGTTTGAAGAACAGGAACGACTTTGGAACAAGCAGCCCTGAACAAGTATCTAATTACTCTGCCACAACCAGAAGCAGAATCCACCAGAATTCACCCCAATCCCCCCCCACCTCCATCCCTGAATCCTAAACCTTCAAAGGAGTGATCAAGTCGCTCCCTGCAGGTTCAACGAGCCAGCGCAGTCCGAGACCGCCAAGGAGGTGAAAGACACGCTCCACATCACCCCCTCGATGGCGCGATCAGGACGACGAAAAAAAGCCCGGTTGGGTCAGACAGACCGTTGAGGATCGACGGTGACTTCGGAAGAAACGGGGGTTTCGTCGGACCCTACTAAAGACACACCCATTTCGAAGAGGCGCATGAACTGGTGAGTTTCAGGTTCGGTGGATGGGTTCAGGTGAGGGTTCGTGGATGTTCGTGGTACAACACAATATAGATACCCCATGATACATTGTTCAGAGTTGTGTGAAAAACCGCCTCGTCTATTTCCAAAAGCTGACACCCAAATGGAACATAACAGCGCTGAAGACGAGTTTCCTTCACAATCAGAGGTGTTTTCCAATGTCTGTTCTGGTCGCGGCTCACGACCATGGCCAGGAGATGTTTTGGGAGGATGGATGCATTGAATTATCGATCCAAAAACAACTCCTACTAGCTGCCAGCCCTCCTGTCATTGAAATTTCACAAGGAATCAACTCTCAGAAGCGCAACAAGAACTTGGAAGCCTTGGCTTTCGTAAGCTGAACGTAAAATACGACATTCATCACATCGCTTTGTTCAGAGCAGAGGAGGACCTCAGAAGACATCATCTCCTGTCAAAAACGAACCCAGCCATTGGAGCAATTTCACAGTTCTCTAAGAAAAATAACAATCTGCCCTCAGAATCCTCGGGTCAAGTCGTGGAATTCAAAGACCACCCCCACGACCTCTTCCTCTCATTTTCAAGCCCTGACCCTTTCTGGAAAGCCCAACTGTGAAACCATCCCTGACTGCTTCACATGGCGGGTTTATGAGACCCGCAAAGGGTCCCAAAGCCAAAGCACTGCTAGACCATATGTAATGGCCGCGGCACAGGCCTCAGCACGGTGATTGCGCAATGAGCTTTCAAAGGATGTCAGCCCAGGAGGAAGCTTCGTCTCCAGACTCGTCTCTTTCGTCGGAGCTAGGAATCGAAAACCACCGCCTGGGGTACCACCGCTTTCGACACGGCTCAGACGCAAAAGCTTCAGCTCTACAGTACTAGCCAGGATCTGAACCCATTAATGGCTTGACGAGGGAATTCTCACTTTGAGCATGGCATGTCAGGAACAACCACCAAACCAACTTGGATAAACTATGATAAAATTCAGATTCTCAACTCCGTATCACTGCAGAAGTGCACACTGCAGCGCACTTGCTTGGCAACATACCTGTACTGATCACCTCAGTCTTGCTAAGCCTTGCGACCGACCCTGCGCCGCACTGAGTTGTGGACCTTTTTGGCATCTTCGCCTGGCGACTGCTAGGAGCAAAGGGCATCGCTACGAACGGAACAAGAAGCTACGAACGGGGCTCCTGGCATCGCTACGAACGGAGCAATGTTCGCTACTAGGATTAACCCACCCCTGCTCTAAATGAATTTCCGACAACACGTGACGACCCATGTCGACCTCGTGGATTCGAGTGGAGTGTCTCGGCTCAATTGCCAGGTATATCCAGTATACCATGAACAAAACTTGCGACCATGGGCTTGGGGGTATCTAGCAAGGGCCATTCTCATGAAATCCCGACACGTCCACCGGAATCTCGCTTTCGCAGACAAGAAACTCTCATCATCAGGGCAGGCGGTGCTCGCGGCATTGAAGGCCATGAGCCCTTGTGCCAGTTGAAACAGGGCCTGTCCGGCATCAACCACACAAACCTCAGAGAGATTGAAAAGCGTCTCTGCAACACGCATCAAGGTCACCTGCGCAAGAGAGTGTGCACAAAACCTTGGAAGATACTGGAACCTGCTGATCTGCACACGAACTGAGCTGTGTGGTGCATGACAAAGTTCCACATGAAAGCTGGGCATGCAGCATGCCAGTCTACTTTCATGTCCAAGGAACCGCAATGCCCAAATTGGCCTCGACATCATAGGCCTGAAGAGAAAATCCACTTTCAGCCGATCCTTTTACATTATATATTTACAGTAAACGTTTATTCAACCAACACAATCAACACAGTCCGAGATCACTTCTCAATACAGATGGGTACTTGTCAGACAAAAAGCCATCAAACCAACACATCCTACAGCCGACACCAGCCTTTATCCAAAGCCTCCAGGTGACTTTCCTCCCCCCGTCTCCTGACCCTTTTCCGACCGGGACATGGTGGTGGTCCTCACGCAGGCGTGCCTCAGGCAGGCGGCCTCCTTGGAGGCTCCGATTGGCCTTGGGAAGCTGTCAAGATCCGAAATCAATATCGAAATATATCGAAATCATCATCGACAGCATGCAATGGGAAGCAGTCAATTTTGGTGTTCGTCTTCACAAAATCATTGTCGTGTGATTGTGGATCAAAAATTTGGCCATTGGCACCCTGTATGTCATGCCAATTCTTGGACCAACGATGGGGCCGTTGGACCCACATCCTCAGCTTGACCTGCCCGTGATTTTCCGTGATGATCCGGTCGTGTCAGGAGTCATCCTCTGGGGTTGGGCTGAAGTGGGCTACTTCAAATGAAGCCTGACTGTTGGAGGTTCCCTGAACTGAGCTGTGATGCTGCAAACCTGCCTTAGGGCGGAGTCTTGGATGCGGATGGAAGTCATAGGTTAGTTTGACTTCTTCAATGCAGAATGTTGGCGGAAAGGTCGTGACACTTTACAATAGGCTTGGCCATCCCCAAGACATTTCAGATCTTGGCAAGTTTTTCCGTTGGTCCAGGTGATTTCTGCTGTCACACCCCATCCCGGCCAAGCAGATGGGTGGGCCCCCCAAAGAACTGCTGGCGGAAGCAGAAGCAGACCAAAAAAGGCCCTTGCTTTCGGGAGAGCATAGACCCTTCCCCCCAAAAAAAACAGAACCCACAAAAAGCACGAGTTCCTGCTCAAAAACCGGGACACGAAGGTCTCGAAGGGCTGGTTTGCCACGTTCAGAAGGTCGGGATCCACCTCCCTGGAGAGTGCAATCCTCGGTCTTTCGATCGCTGCAGCAGTGATTCGGTGAGGGAAGGCCTGTGCGACAGGACGAAGGAAGGAAGGGGTATTCTACGCATCCCCTTCTCAAATGATGGAGAAGGAGCAACTCAAGGTGCAAATGACCGAGGTATCCTCACTTCAACAAATCACACCGGATGTTCAGTCCACCTGTCCGCGGTTCTGAAGCTCTCAGATTCACACCCGAAACCCACGAAGGGGGCGGCAGATTTCGCCTCCGCAAGTGCCCAATCTCAAGTGCGCAGGAACCCTCCTCCGCCCTGCGGAACGGACGGTGAGAACTGCACGGAACGGTGAGAATGCAACGTTCGGGGCTCCTGGCATCGCCGGAACAAGGACGCTACGCTACTAATCAAACACTCAGACGACAACAGGGAGTGACGTGAGAACTACGTGGTGAGAGTGTTGAAGGGCCTCTACCCAGTAGTCTCCAAAAACGAACGAAACTGGGTCGCTGCCAGAGAATCACGGGCTTCAGATGATGGTCCCACCATAGATGATGGTTGGTGAAGAGTAAAAGACTTTGACCCCCCAAAAAAGTGATTAAGTTTTATCTACTACAGTGTACCGACTTCTTTTTGAGACTGGGACAGACGACAACAGCCTCTGATATATCTCCAGGCTTCAGTCTCTGCATGTCTGGGATCGAATCCACTTCGGAGAACCCGTGCCTGAGCAAACAAAAGAAAGACGACCACATATCAGTGAAGTTTCATCGATGCCCCCGTTCCTGGACACATCCAACTCGATCGTCTGTGGTTCATGCGGAACATCAAACGAGCCATTCCTGCTGGGCAGACGTGCCTTGCGTCTCTGTCTTGATTCCTGTGTGCACCATTGCGGCTGGAGGCGGTGCGGGCAAGACACGTTAGCAAAAGAAGCGCGGCCGCACAAAGGGTGGTGAACACGAGGAGGAGAGCATGTCTCCTCTTCCAAACCTGGTTCCAAAGGATTGGAATGGATTGCGAAGAGATCAGCTCCTCTGTATCATGTGTTCTCCTATGCTGGATGAGCCTATGAGCCTCAGCCAATTCTCGAAACCGAACCAAGGTAAAGGGCTCCGCGGGCACTAGATCGGTCGAAAATAACAGCCGGAGGCTGTCAGGACTTGTGACATAGGGGCAGGGGGGGCTCTGAGGATTGAGATCAAACAATTCAAACAGCGGCTGGTGTCCCAATGCCACAGAGCATCCGAAGCATCTCTCGCTACCGCCAAGCTCTCGTCGTTCAGAGGCTCTGCCACAGATTCATAGCCGGCCATCGGCAAACAACAAGAGGAGAGGCTTGCTTCTGCAGGGGGCTTGCCAGGTACCCATTGATTTTGGCTTGTCTCAAGAGGCAAACGCTTAAAACTTGAAAGTACACAGTTGCATAGAATAGAAGGAAGTAAAAGTGCCACATGGCTGGAATCTCCGAAATGTGTTTTGTTTAACGCATTGTAGTTGGAGATGCTTTGGGGATTGTTGGGGAACCCATCTTTTGGATAATTTTGGATATCGACATTGAAAACATAGTCGTTGAACGTCTTGGCAGCTTGCTCTGGAGCCAAGCTGGCTCCTGTGCTCGAACTGCAAAGTCAGCTTTCAGCCTCCAAAGACCCCCGCTACGGAACCAATTCGTGGGTTTTGCATTGGTATGTGAGCCTTCTTCATGCTATGGTCAACACAAGCAGCAACCCCGAGCTTTGCGCGGCAATGTTCAATCCCACTTGGACCACTGCTGGTGAGGCACGCTTCATTGGCATTGTTTGCTTTTTCTGGCGCAGATTTGGCAACGGGTCGCCCCCTTCGCACTCTTCACTCCACGTGTCCCGAAGCTGCACCACTCATGAGCTCTACTCGACTTTCATGCCACCTTGGTCGCAAAGGGGTTGCTTTTCACACAGAGCCGAGCTGGGTCCAGCTTCCGATGTTTGCTTACTGGGGCATCTGTGGTTTGGGAGGCCTCTTTGCCAATCTTCACCAACTGGTCAAATGACTTTCATGAGAAGCGAAGAAACCCTGGTCAGGGCCTCCTGTTTGGCATGTCTATACATAGCCCTTGGAGCTTAAGGGGTGTAAACATACCACCCAAACGCCTATGCGGAGTACGATCCCACGGGAGTACCATCCGATCTCAGCGATCTTTTTGGACACAACCGTGCTGACTCAGCACAGCGCGGGTGTTTGTTTTCGTGCTGAGGACGGACCGGACCCGTGGTTGGTTCGATGCCCTTGGCGTCCGTTCGCGTCCGGACCAGACCCTACGCAGCCTCTGTCAATGCGTTCACTGAGTTCCTGGTGTTCTCTCACCTCGAAGACCTGTTCTTCTCGTTCGATCAGCGATGACTTCGCCAGTGCAAGCGATAAGCATCTTTCTCAGCGCGGTTCCTCAATATTTCTGAACGGTACACCATCTGGATTCAGCAAAGCTGTTCGTGCAAATTGACACCCTGCTTCTTCCAGCTTGCCAACTTGCCAGAGTGCCCCATGGCCCTGAATTAGCGGCTCGGCGTCCGATTCTTGAAGCGAATCTCGAATCGCGTCAGTCGACAGAGGTTTGTCCTCCGAAATCTCTTCAAAAGTGACCAATAGCTGCAAAGATTACAAGAATTAAGCATCAAAAGACTCAGTGTCCCAGTGCAAGAAATAACCCCCTGTATGTGAGAAATGCTTGGAGGACACTCAACAGCTTTGCTGGGAGAGCTCCAAGCAAGTCACGGTCAAGTTGGGTTTGGCCCAAAATACACCAACACCACCAACCAGAGTTGTTATATTCATCCACCAGCTGCGGGTATGTGGGGCATACATACCCATCTTTGAGCCTTACCCGTCTGGCTCTTATCAACTTTTCACTGCAACTTTGCCCGGCCTCCTTTTTGGCGACCATGTGCGGAAGTTGCAGGCTGCGAAATGACTGCTCAGTAGCAGAAGGATTTATCCAAACTGCTCTTGCAACGTGCCTCAACGCCAGGCATGAGACCTTCCTCCAAAGCATCATTGGGATGTTTCTTCTGGATCGCAAAATCACCGTTTTGAATAGAAAATCTCGGCCTCGGGTTATGTACAACCAAGAAGAATCCACCGAGCACGGGCGTTTGGGCGAGTTGTGTGAGGTCGTCACGCTGCACGCCTCGCCCTCAGCCGCGCGCGTAGGTGGCTGGAATCTACCCTATAGATCCGGTTAGACAATTAAGGATGCCTATTAGTCAGAAAGGTCTTTTTTACTATTTGTAACCTAATAAGATATCTCTTAGCTGTAGACAAAAGTCAATGTTGAAAACAGTCTAGAACTGCCGAGCGAAATGCCCAGCAGTTGGTTCAGCTGTTGGCACAGCATGTCACATATCACTATGTAAGTCTCATATATATATATATATACATAACTGATTATTTACTCTCCAGGATACCTTCAGTTATATGCTTCAGAAATATTCTCTCCAATATTCTCTAATAGCAATTGGCACCGTTTTACTTTGTCCATTCCATGTGCACTGCAAAGCGCCAATGCCTCAAGGCTTTCATTGGCCCTTGCAAAGGAGCATTGCCCCTTGTACTGGCTTGTGTCAATGTTTGTACAACGCGCATCATGTCTTCTCCAAGGAAGCACCACAAAAGGCGAGGGGATATGAATCTGCTATAGAGAGCAGAATGGCATAGAGCATGCTGTTTTGCTGTGCGTGTGAACAAACCTCTGGCCTGCAATTCTGTGGTCTGGTAGTGGCAAAAAAGCAAGTGGGCCATGCGCCCATAGGCAAATACAGCTTTAGTGAAAGCTTCAGCATCAGGTTCACCTTCACACAGCCAAAAGCAAGAAGCCAAGAAGTTGATATTTATTTGCTTTTGAACATTAAGATTGATTTTCCTGCCAAAAGGCCTAAAAGCAAGAAGCCAACAAACAACTTGATTATTTTTTGCTTCTGAACATAAAGGTTGATGTCCTGCCAAAAGGCTGAAAGCGTCAGAGTCTTTGTTGTCCAAGAGCAAGGTTTAAATCTGCTGGCTCGTCTTCAGCAGAAAATATACCTGTTGGTGCTGCTCTTTGGTCATGTCACATAGTGTGAGCCAATATGCCAATAAAGGATCAACCAAGCATTTGATTTCTGCCGCCTTGCCTCTCAGTTTCACAGGCCCAGCTTTGCGAATGATCATTGAAAGCTTGGACAGGCTTGTAATAGGCTCTAATGAACTCCCACATGGTCAGCGTGTTCTGCTCTGGTGTTGAAGGGAGAAGGATGTAGATGATGATGAACATTATGCTGGCATATATATATATATATTGGTCTGCACCAAGGTACTTGGAATGCATGAAGTCGGCAGCAATGCTGCAAGCAGTGACCCCAATAATCTTGAAGATGGAGCTGGTGGACTTATTGCGCCAAACCCTCCATGTATCTGGCCTCCAGGTTGTTGTTGTCCAGGCAGCATCCTGCCTCCAATGAGGCCTTTTGGAGGCCAAGCATAAGGAGCAGCAATTCTCAGCACTGCTCCACCTTGGTAGCCTCAAAAAAACACGCGTGTATTCTAAGTCTCCAAGGGTGCCAGCCACACAGCACCTAGATCCTCCAGCTAGAGGGGGCCCAGCTCTTTTGTGTGCTGCAGAACCAGGCAAATACCTGAGGGCCAATGCTTGCAAAAACAAAAGCAGAAAAGCCCATGGCAAAGGAACTACTTCGGCCCTAGTCGCTCTTTGCCTTGGAAGTCTGTAGCTGGCCAGACTCCATGAAACATGGCATTGAAACTCCAGCTCAGCAA